AAGATTGAACACTGTGAAAATGTCAATACTACCAAAAGCAATCTATACATTCAATGCAATCCCAATCCAGATCCCATCTACATTCTTTAAGGATATGGAAAAACCAATCACTAACTTTACATGGAAAGGAAAGAGACCTTGGATAAGCAAAGTACTATTGAAGAAGGACAAAGTAGGAGTTCGCACACTCCCAGATCTCAAAACCTACTATACAGCCACAGTAGTCAAAACTGCCTAGAATTGAGAACCCATGAATAGGTCCATTGACCTATGGTCAGCTGATCTTTGACAAAGGGCTGAAATCTCTTAAATAGGAAGAAGTTGTATGTTTAACAAATGGTGCTGACAAAACTGGATATCCATTTGCAGAAAAATGAAAGAAGATCTATACCTCACACCATACACAAAAACTAACTCCAGATGGATCAAAGACTTAAATGTGAAACCTAAGCACTTGACTGCTAACCAGAAGGCTGGCGGTTCAAACCCACCAGCCACTCCTCGGAAGGAAGGTTGGGCAATCTACTTCCGTAGTGATACTGCCTCAGTAACCAAAGGAGGGGTCATTATGAGTTGGGTCTGACTTAACAGCAAATAACAACAACAACAACAAAACTATAAATTTCTTCAGGGAAAAAAATTGGGGCAAAGTTAGCTGGCAGTTCAAACCTACCAGCCACTCCTTGGAAGGAAGGTTGGGCAATCTACTTCCGTAGTGATATCACCTCGGAAACCCAAGGAGAAGTCGCTATGAGTTGGATCCAATTCAATGGCAGTGAGTTTGGTTTTTTGGTTTATATATAGCATAAAAAGACTATCAAGCATAACCCAACATGCACAAATAGCAGAAGACAAACTAGATGAAGGGACTTCCTAAAAATTAAATTTTTACGTGCTTCAAAAGACTTCTCCAAAAGAGTAAAAAGAGAACCTACAGATTGGCAAAAAATACTCAGCAATGACATATCTGACAAGGGACTTATGTCTAAAATTTATAGAAAACTTCAACATCTAAACAACAAAGAGACAATCCAATTAAAAATGGGCAGAAGACATGAATAGACACATCATCCCCAAGGAGGATATTCAAGCGGCCAACAAACATATGAAGAAATGCTCATGATCATTAGCTATTAGAGAGATGCAAATCAAAACAACAATGAGATACCATCTGGCTCCAGCACTAGTAGCAAAGTTCAACAAGACGGAAAATAACAAATGCTGGCGAGGATGTGGAGAGATTGGGACTCTCATACACTGCTGGTAGGATAGTCAAATGATACAACCACTGTGTAAAGCACTATGGTGATTACTTAAAAAGTTGGAATTAGAAATACCATTTGACCCAGCAATCATATTACTAGGTATATATCCTAAAGAAGAGAGACCCTGGACAAGAACAGACATATGCACACCCATGTTATTTGTAGCACTATTTATAATAGCCAAAAGATGGAAACAACCTAGGTGCCAATCCACAGAAAAATGGATAACCAAACTATGGTATACACACACAACAGAATACTATGCAACCCTAAAGAATAATGTAGAATGTGTAAAACACTGCATAACGTGCATGAAAGTGCATGAACTTGGAGGAAATTGTGCTAAGTGAAATAACTCAATCACAGAAGGACAAATATTGTATTAGTCCGGTATTGTGAAAAGTCAAGGAAAGTTTATATATAGAATGAAACTTTCTTTGTTGGTTCCTAGGGGAGGGAAAGGAGGGGAGGGAACACTGCTAGATAGGTAGAGACAAGTACTGATTTGGGTGAAGGGAAGGGCAATGTACCAAATATGAGTGATCAACACAGTGGCATGGAGGAAGAGGAAGACATAGAGAGGTACATGAGAAATACAGACAACAAAGATGAACCCTTTTGTACATATAGTACTGAGTTGTCAGTGATGGCAAAAATTGATCTGTGGGTGGATAGATGAGTGGACTCACTGCCCTCGAGTCGAATCTGACTGATAGCAACCCTTCCTTGGGTTTCTAAGGCAGTATCACTATGAAAGTAGATTGCCCAACTTGTGCCCATGATCATGGATAAGGTTGGTAGACAATGCTTCTACAAGTGTATTTGCATGTTCTGTAAGAATGTCCAGGTATATAGTGCAGCATAAAAGCGACAAGGTTGTAGTCAATTCTTGGCCACAGCCAGCTACCTGGAGGGAGCGAGTAGTTGGATCTGTGGGCTTGTGATCATGGTCCCAGGGGACATCAAGCTCAAATGGCATA